ATTAAATCTCTTATTCTTCACAATTCTGTCTTATAAATTATTCATCGAGATAGCATTTTGCCTAGAGACGTTAATCTTTGTTACTCAATAAATTCTAGGGCTTTGAAATCAAAAGATGTATCAAGCATAAAAAGTGTTAGAATTTGATTTTGAAAAGTATCTCGAAAAATCAATAAATTGTTTTCAATACATAAAGTGACTCATAGAGTTGATTTTTTTCTTTCGCTTTAGAAAATACTTTCTGTAATTTTTCCCAACAAATAACTTCCGAAATATTACAGTTGGCCACGTTTTAAAAAATGCGTACAATTTCGTTTTTTGTTGAATATTAACAACCGGGAAAATTCTATGATTTGAACCGGGAAAACCGGGAAATAACCGGGAATTTCAAAATGAAAAGTCACTGGCCACCCTGAAGATAGGTCGAGTCGGAGGTTTAGCTATACGTGTCACTTCACCAGTGTTCAAAATAGTCAAGTTGAAATCGTCACATAAATCGTAAAAAAATAGCCGCTCTATTGTCATCGTATAGATCGCCCCAATACCAGGCCAGATAACTTGAAAATTATAAATTAAAAGTCCTAGAATTTAGTGTTGGTTTATGTCTGAAATTTAATCGATGATCTAAAAAAATCTAGTTACAAAATTCATGGAATTATCTAACATGAAAATTTTCTTAAGTTTGAGATCCTTTATATCGTCATGATATCCGGACAATATGCAAGCTTCGCCATAAAAGGTCGTATCATTGGACAAAGTGGAAATGTATCCAACAGGAAAATACAATAACAAATAGCGTTGACGCCTTTTCATTGAATGGCAGTTCCAGAGCTTCTATTGAACCGTAGTTTAACAAAACAAAAAATTCCACAGGCGCCACACAGTAAAATTTTCTAGCTTCGCCAATGCAGCTGATGCGCCCTTTTTAATTGTTGGTCTAGATGTGATATAACAGAATCGTTGTCATGCAATTTCGAAGTACATGGTCGATGGAATCTACTCAAAATTGAGTGGTTTTTCACTCAAAATCGCAAAAAAAAACATAGGTGAATAGAATGAGTAAAATTTTCTTCGCTTTTCCTTAAAAATTTGCTCGGATATGAAGAAAATCTACGAAATTTTTACTCAGTCCAGGAGTATCCTAATACAGGGTGTCTACTATTAAAAAAAAACTTGGAAATCCGGCAATCTTCACGTGAAATTCACAGGTAATTTTGAACATAATAATTCTAGAGTGAATTTATCTTCAATAACAATAAACATTCTGAAAATTGAACTGTTTTTTGGGGTGTTGTAAAAACTTGGAGAAATTTTCAAGAATCTAAAACAAAAATGGTCAAGACGTCGGACATTGGAACATGGAACTTGCAAAAATAAATTAATTTGGTGAGAATTCCCAAGGAACTCCAAGTGATAAGGGAATTCACAGGAAAATTCCACGGGAAGATTGGTTAGGCAAACTTGAAGTGACATTTAAGTTTTGTTGAACTCCAGAGTCCAAGGTAGTTCTGAGTAGAATTCCAAGAGAATCATGATTGGGATTCAAAGTAAAATTCCAACAGAATTTTACGGAGGATTCCAAGGTAACTCCAAAATGAATTTCATGAGAGTTCTGACTAAAATTGCATAATTTTGAGAAGAATTCTAATGGATCTACAAGGAGTACTTTAATGTTCTTGTGAGTAGCATTCCAAGAAGGAGGAGAGCAGGAGATAAATCAATGAAAATTCTGATGATAATTCTAAGGAAGTTTCAATGGAATTAATTTTGAAGGAATACATACTTAGGATAGTTTCAAGGATATTCCTGTAATTGTTTTTAGAAAACTCAAAAAAGAGTTCATTGAGAATTCTGAGGATCATTTCATGGAATTTATGGGACTACTCCTATAATTTTGTGTGGAATTTAGAGGACATTCAGAAGATGATTCTTTGGGAATTTTAGGAGAGAGTTTATATCAGGAGAATTCTTTGGGGTATTTGAAGAGAATTTGTAAGGGACATTTTTTAATTAGATTTCAGACCCTGTAATAGACTAAGTGAAATTCTCGATTTTCCTCATGTTCGAAAAGTTTTTTCCTCGAAAAACGAGAAAAATTTTACTTCTCTTACGAGTAACCTACTTTTTTGCGAATTTGAGTGATCGACTCTTAAATTTGAGTTGGTCGTGTATAGTTATGGGATGGAAGCTAGGGGTAAGACAACTGTACTCAGAGTTAATATAATTGCAGTGAGTAAATTTGAGTTACTCATATTTACTCAAAAACAAACAAAGAAGTCTAATATTTTTCATCAAATAATGTTCAAACAATCCCCGTCTGACAGAATGTTTTGATTTCAAGATTTAGTTTTCATTCATTAAAATATCCAAGTTAGATGGCTCTTGTCCAGGCCAGGGGATGTTTAGGTCTCTTTTGCTTTCTAGGATGGATGGCTAAAGTGTAATGTCTTTGAAGTTTTTGGTGATGTGGTGGTGTTAGTGTTTCCATATCCCAGCCATTTATAATTACCCGGGAATCTTAAAATCGCTGAAGACTCTTCCCGGGAATCGGGAAATATTTTCGGTAGTTATTTATTGAAACTTGAACTTCGTCAGGATTTCCCCCGGAAGATTTTTCCGACAATTTCTGGAAGTTTCTTCCAACTTTCCCTTGAAGATTTCGACCAGCTTCTTCGGAAGGATTCTTATGATTTCTCAGGGAGGTTTTGCCTGACTTTGCACGAAAGTTTCTTCCAACATCTTCTGGAAGTTTTTTAAAACTTGCCCTGGAAGAATCTTCCACCTTATCCCGCCAATTTCGTCCATTATTCAACGGAAGTTTCATCATCTTTTCATTCCAACTGTATCAAATTACAATCAGTAGTTCTAGATTACAATCAGATGTCCTACCGCTGGAAGGGGAAACTATTTCCCATTTCATCCGGACTTCCCACGGAAAACTTTTCTGAATTATTCTGAAAGCTTCATCCGGCTGCCTAAATTTGTATGGAAGTCTCTTCTAACTTTGCCCGGGAATTTCTCACAGATTGTGTCAGAAGCGTCTACCGGTTTCGTTTGGAACATTCTTCGCCAGGAAGCTTTCCCGACTTCGCCCTAAAGATTCGTCAAACTTTCTCCGGAAATCTCTACCAATTTTCCCCAAAAGTTGTGTGGTCATTTTTAATATAAAATATGTTTAACATGGTTTTCGTACAAACTAGTCAAACTAGTTTCCTGGGAATCGGGAAATGATAATTCTGGTAAATTGCCCGGGCAAGACTTAGGAAGTAAGAATATGGCCAAATGTTTTCAGAAGATTAATTTAGCTCATGGAAAATAATACTCAATCTCACAAATTTGGATTTTTTGGAATCCCCCCTGGATCCCCCTCAATATTGAGTAAAATTCTTCCTGTGATTGTCCGGAATCCTCGCTGGGATAGTTCATATTCCTTCTTTGGATTTTCCGAAGTTACCTTTGATATTGTTGGGAAACCGAACTGGGATTGTCTGAAATTCCCCCTAGGCTTGTTCGGAATCTCTACTGAGACTGTCATAAATCCCTTTTGCGATTGACTGGAACCCTCCTAGGGATTGTACAAAATCCCCCTGTAATAGAACGTCATCGGCTAGGCAGTAAAGCAAGACAGTTCTGACTGTTCCGTAAGGTCACCATAAAAATCTTCCATCGATTTTGAGGGGGCAACTTGTAGTTCCTTTCGTACACGTGCAATTGCCCTTTCATTGCTGAAAGATCTTCTCAGTTAAGCATTGCAAGCGCATGTTGTTGCTTTGCTTTGCCTGACAGTATCGGTTGCTATGTGTATTTTATGTTGAGCGAGTTACTCAGAGTTACTCAAAATTACCTCCGATTTTACTCATGATCAAAAGCTGTCTTGCCCCAAGGATGAAAGCTTCAATATATAAGGTTAACATCAGCGAATGCAAACACATAAAGCAACCAACGATACAGACAAAACGGTTGCTACGACTACCATGACAAACTCGCTCTGTAGCATAGCTCGATCGGAGTGGTAGAAGGATAATGATATATTACTTGCCTGCTTTGTTGCAATATACACGGATGAGGACATAGCTTGATCTGAATCGAGAAAAGACATAACAAAAAAATATCCCATTAACACACGTGTATCATCTTCGGCTTTACTTCGTGGAGCAGCTTGCCAACAATTTGCTCGTTTCCTTCTACCGCCCTGAGTGAGCTGTGTCGCACGGGCTGATTGTCGTGAAAAAGAAGGAAGAAGATTATGGGGCTTATTACGGATGTCACTTCACGGTGAAATCTTGTCACTTGGTGAAGTGATTCCCATTTGATTTGTACGACAATCACGGCTCTCACTTTCTTATCACCGTGTAGTGACACCCGTAATAAGGCCCTATATCATTATTGCTTTCCACTTCTGACATAGCGTTATCATTCGGTTCGTTGATCGCTTGTCATTTGGAGATATTTTTGGTTCCTTGATTAACACGCTAGACTGACTGAACCATAATTGTGTTTTGCTGATCCATAATTCTAAGGTCAGTGTACATCTTTTTCCAATATTTTTAGAAAAATCAAACCCGCAAAAAAAAATTCTGGGGCGTTTGATTTTTCTAAAAATATTGGAAAAAGATATACAAACGAGCGTAGACTTCCGCTTAAAAGCAAACCTTCAGGCATTCGAGAAGCTTTGAAGCAATTAACATTTACTTATAAACCACAAGCTTATACCAAGTATGCATCCAAGATAAACATTCATTGTGCATGACTGCAATACGTGTTCTCAGCCCACCACTAATGTCATTACCATTTCCAGCTATTCCGAATCACCGTCCCTCCCCACACCAAAAAATGCTGGGGTTAAACACTTCGCTGTCTGCTTCCATAAATTCCGCAAAACCATACCCCCATCAATTATAAATTCTGTGTTGCTTCGTCTCCGTTTAATGTTGCTGATTTGTCAAGCCTTCAACCTTCCTCTGGACGTAAACCATTCTCAAATTATCCGCCTTTTACAGATCATCCAACCCTTCGACCAGCTGGGCGTATCGGGCAATGTTGTACCACTGCAACCATCACATCACCACCCACAGGCGCAAGCGGCGGCCGTTGCAGCCGCGGCAGCCCTCCAACAGCAACAGTACTACCAACAGCAACTGCTACTTCAACAACAGCAACAACAAGCTGTCCAACAGCAACCGCAGCAACCGCAACTGCCACAGCAGGATCTGGCGGTTGCCGGTCCAGCTGCGATACCAAACCGCCGGCAGGGACCGGCACGGACCCTCCAGTATCGGGACAGTGCGTACGAAAGCCGCCGGCAGTCGCAGGCCGGTGCCCCTGGAATGCAAATCGACAGCTTCCGGTTGCTGAGCGTCCTCGGTAGGGGTCACTTCGGCAAGGTCATTCTGGCCCAGTACAAAAACACCGGCGAGTACTTTGCCATCAAGGCGCTCAAGAAGGGCGACATCATCGCTCGGGACGAGGTCGAATCGTTGCTCAGCGAGAAGCGCATCTTCGAGGTGGCCAACACGATGCGGCACCCGTTCCTGGTGAATCTGTTCGCTTGCTTCCAGACTGAGGTGACTGAGCTGGGTTATGTTTAATGATATTCTAATTAACCTTAAATGATTTCCAAAATAGCAACACGTGTGTTTCGTGATGGAGTACGCCGCCGGAGGGGATTTGATGATGCACATCCACACGGACGTGTTCTCCGAGCCACGGGCGGTGTTCTACGCTGCCTGCGTGGTTCTTGGCCTGCAGTATCTGCACGAAAGCAAAATCATCTACCGGGACTTGAAGCTCGACAATCTACTGCTGGATACGGAAGGTACAACTTTGGGATCAATTCTGGGGGAAAAATGTAAGTCTCACACGTGCTCTTTTCAGGTTACGTCAAAATTGCCGACTTTGGTCTGTGCAAGGAAGGCATGGGCTTTGGCGATCGGACGGGAACGTTCTGCGGTACGCCGGAGTTCCTAGCCCCGGAAGTGCTCACCGAGACGTCGTACACGCGGGCCGTCGATTGGTGGGGATTGGGAGTGTTGATCTTCGAAATGCTTGTCGGAGAGGTGAGTTCAGTTATTGACGGATTGCAACTTGTGAATACTAACCTTGTAATTGTTTCAACAGTCACCATTCCCGGGAGACGACGAAGAGGAAGTGTTCGACTCGATCGTCAACGATGAGGTTCGGTATCCGAGGTTCTTGTCGCTGGAGGCGATAGCCATTATGAGAAGGGTAAGGAATTGAAGCTGCTTTGGACCGTTGACCATAGTAACTCGTTTTTTTTTTTTTGCATTACAGCTTTTGCGTAAAAACCCGGAACGGCGGCTTGGCTCGTCGGAACGGGACGCTGAGGATGTTAAGCGACAGGCCTTCTTCCGAAACATCGGCTGGGACGATCTGCTGCTCAGGAAGGTGAAACCTCCGTTCGTGCCAACCATTGTGAGTATTGCCTGTTTATGCACCATCGTCCATCACTCATCATCGCTAATCTGCTATAATGTTTATCGCATTTTCTAGCGCTCCCCGGAGGACGTATCGAACTTCGACGAGGAGTTCACATCGGAGAAGGCCGCCCTGACGCCACCGAAGGACCCGCGTGTCCTGACCGAGAGCGAACAGACTTACTTCAAGGACTTTACCTACATGGCCGACTGGTGTTGACAGTGAGCGGACCTGGCAGGGCGACTACTGGCGTAACGTAATGGTTTCCCCCTCCAGATTACATACCTATTCCTTCTATCACCACCATGATCAGCATCAGAGACCATGATTCGTTCGTTATTCTGTTTCTTATACTCTTAACGCGAGCAGCTATACCTACAGACACGCTTCCATGCATATCACACTTATTATCCCTTGGTTCGTAAAGGAGCAGCATGAACGCGGAAAATGAATGCAAAACTGTTAATATATTATTGTAAGAACAGAAATTAGACAAATAAAAGTTTACTGTTGGACAAAAACAAAAAAAAAATGAAGCAAAATATGTGTAGCTACAGCAAATGTCTTCCAAAAAGACACAAAGGGATAAACTAAAAATCAGGAATCGTACCGCGGCTTCTCTTTCCTTTTAGACGAATTTAAGCTTAACCGTTGTATAGGCATTCACTCACTCACTCACAGATCAGAGAAGACTACATATAAGAGGAGAGCAACCGAAAAGTAATAATATTGTAAGGTGCCTTTTTTTTTACTTGTTGTTGAAATTGTTCCACACGCACCCAGGCCGAACAGGTTGGTTGGACCATCCGGAGAAGTTTCCATTCTTTCCTGAGTTGGAGCGCACCCTTATTATTGTACACTGTGGCGATAGTTTTAATATGATTACCTAGGTAATTTCCCTGCAGGAATTAAATTCACACACACACAGACAGACAGCTAAAAATGTAATCATTCGGAACGGAAGATGATTAAGACGTGTAGGAAAGTTGTTTTTAGAAAGCCTTTATTTATGAATGTAGCCTTTTTTTCCTGTTCAGATTTACGAATTTCGCTCTACCACTTTTCTTTTTTAAATGCAGATTTTTTTTTACAAAATCACACCCATTAATAAACGGAATCCAATATCACTTACCGCGCGAGGAGTTTTTTTTTGAGTTTGAGTTAAGCTAAGAACGCAAAGCATCATTGCATAATCATAATGAAGGAATTAAAAAAAAAAAACATACAATTAGCTTAGTGATTTAAGTGAACTCAGTCGCGCGCTGCTGCTGATGTGAAAGCGTTGTTTATTATTTTTTTAGAAGCAAAACAGTAATGTTATTTTAGTTTACACACATCAACATTAATAACATACACACATGTGATTATAACTTTTATCAAGGAGGAAACAAAATGATAATATAACTACATTTAAAACAGGAAAACAAATATCGATTGTAGCGAAAGAAAAAAAAAGAAACAAATGAAAGATGAAAAAAATGTACTAATAGTCGTTTATTGATAAAAGCAATTTATGCATTTTTTGAGAAGGTTAACAAATGAATTGAAAAATACATTACAGAACATGTTTGAGTTTTATTCCACTTGATCCGAACATGTTTTCCTAATTTAAGTCTACTTTAAATTTTCTATTGTCAACGTAAATCGCCCGTAACGTTGGTAGATCACCTCTAAATGGTGCGTTACGGTGTAAGATCTACCAAATGTTCGATAAGGATTGTCAATAGACCTTCCGTCTCGAACAAACAATTTGCATTCAGTTGCACAATTTGCTTGCAACTGAATCTAGAATGTTGAGCTCTACTAGGAATATAATACAATATCAACAGATATTTTAATATAAATTCGTTTTTAAGTGTACATACAAAATGTTAAATATTTTGGGATTCATGAAAACGATCAAGATTCTGGTGGATTTTTTAGGTTCCAGAAATTTGATTCCTTTCCGAGAGTTGTGACTAACCTATTTAACCTAGGCACAGGTCAAAGCAAAAGCTAGTAGCTGCTCAGGATGCGAGTCTTTTACGGTGGCCCTGTAAACCACCCGATGTGCTCAGGACAGTCATGGTAAAAACACTGAACCCTTTTGCACGGGTGGCAGTTTTGCCTACAAACACAGCACCAAGAGCATTGAGTTTCACGCTCCGTACCAGTGCTCGATAGAAAACACCAATCGCAGCGAACAAGGCACCGGTTCCAGTGCCCGTGCATAATTCTTTGCACCGGTGTATGGATGCTTCGGCAACCACCAAAGCCGAGTGTTTCTTACTTCGGAAAACACCGCAGCCGAGTGTTTTCGATTTTGGAAAACACGCTTGCTGCTCACAGAAATCTTCCTTGGGTGACTTCTGAAAGATTATCGTAGCTCTTATACGCCTTCAGCATCTTCCGATTCGACTAGAGCTGATAAACGAGTGGTCAAAGCAATCCTTTCATAGGGGAAATGGCTCTAATGTTGGCCTATGGATCTAAGATTGGGCCCATCGCTAAAAATCTGCTATTTATCAATTGTATCTAAATGAACGCGTCTGTGGGACGGTTCTAATGGATATTTTTGGTTGATATTGGAAATTTAGTCGATTGCTGAATTTATGCATGGGCCCAAATTAGGGACACTTAGGTCGACATTACATACATTTCCCCTAATTCCAATGCCGATGGTTCGATTCCAGTCTGTCCCCCTCCAATTTTTTTCTGTCAACATTACTTTCATAAGGCAAATCTATGAAATTCATTTCGATTTCTTTTTGGCTAAAAAGTATAACGCAATCTTATAAAGCTTATGAGCTCAAGGGATCTTCCAGGATTATTAAAAATACACAACTCCACCCACTGGTATTTCTTGGCTTTATATTAAATAATTTAGCTGATTGATTTATTGTGATTAGTGTCAATCTAATAATCATAACTTATCTCCAACAAAAACAAACAGCTCAACTGATTGAATAATAGTAGAGACATATACGGTGTTTACATAATATGTAATATATTATATGCTGGTTCACTATTAGATAATTAGATAATAAATATATATATAAATAATAACTATGATGGTTCACTAGCTCAACCAACTCAACTAACTAGCACGAATTTCAGAGGCTCCTAAAATCTCATGCTAGTAGATGCTGACGCCCTGTTTACATTATGCTGACTATTTATAAGTACAGCTTTAGTTCACTAGCATCAGCACACCAGCACAAATGTAAGCACCCAAATAGCGGTGGGTGAACAGAACTTCTCACCATTCATGTAGGGTAGAACAGCCCGAAATGCAGCCGGGCCAAACGCCCGATTTGATTTATTATAGCTATTCCACTCTTAATTTTGCCGAAATGCTAGTTCAAGTACTAAACTAGCACTGTGACTTGTCAAATTTATGAATTAAAAACGGGAATGCTATGAAAAATCGCATCGAGTGATTTGCGCGAGGTGCATTTTGGGCTGTTTTCCCCTAAATAAAAACAACGCGCTACCTTCTACTAGCTCCGTATCAGCCATGGTAGCTGTTTTGTTGTTGTTGGATATAAGTTATCATTATTAGATTGACTCAAATCGTGTGAAAACAATAAGCTCAATTAGTTAATATTAAGCCAAGAAATACCAGTGGGTGAACGGCAACAGAAACACGCTCTTGCGAAGTGGGTGATTTGTGTATGTTTAATAATCCTGGTAGATGATCCTTTGAGCTCATAAGATTCATAAGATTGCGTAATGCTTTTTAGCCAAAAGAAATCGAAATGAATTTCATAGATCTACCCTATAAAAACAATGTTGACAGAAAAAATTGGAGGGTGACAGACCGGCATCGAACAATGGACATAAGCATTACGAGACCAATGCTTTGACCACTCGTCTATCAGCTCTAGTCGCGTTTAAGTTCTACCTTGTGTAACAAGATAATCTTTCATAAGTCGCCAAAAGAAAACTCCTGCGAGCAGCAAGCGTGTTTTCCGAAATCGAAAACACTCGGCTTTGGTGTTTGCCGAAGTCAGAAACACTCGGCTTTGGTGCTTGCCGAAGATTCATACACCGGTGCAAACAATTATGCACGGGCACCGGTACAAGCATAGAGGTAACTCTAAGACTAGAAGGTCCCGAAATAACGTGCTCAACTTTTTGGCTCAGCTCTGGTACTCTCTTCGGTCCCAAGCTAATCGATTCACCCCTCGAAACATAGGAACAACCAATAACCCCTCATTTTATCTGTCAAACTTTCATAACGAATCAAAACAAACATTGCGTAGTACTAGAATTTCGACTAGAATAGGGTACGTTAATCGTTTGCTTGGGACCAATAGGCTACTAAAGTGGTGAGCCAATTTAAAATCGTTAGTTTCGTATTGATTGTTGGTACAAGTGCCTTGTTTGCTGCTTTTGGTGTTTTCTATCGAGCACTGGTACGGAGCGTACAACCAACAATCAATACGAAACTAACGATTTTAAATTGGCTCACCACTTCAGTAGCCTATTGGTCCCAAGCAAACGATTACCGTACCCTATTCTAGTCGAAAGTTGAAAGTTTGACAGATAAAATGAGGGGTTATTGGTTTTTCCTATGTTTCGAGGGGTGAATCGATTAGCTTGGGACCGAAGAGAGTACCAAAGCTGAGCCAAAAAGTTGAGCACGTTATTTCGGGACCTTCTAGTCTTAGAGTTACCTCTATGGTACAACTCAATGCTCTTGGTGGTGTGTAAAAAAGGCAGTACGCAGAGTAGTGTTGCGTTTAGACATGCCTGGCTCAGGATACTTGAGTGAGACATTAAACAATTAATGCAAATTTTAACACGAGAAATTTGAAAAAAAAAATCTGACGATTATGATATGGAATTACCTCTCACTGTAGCAACACAACTGTCGGTAGACTGTGGACAATCCTCGCTGTTCAACTTGATGAAATTTAATAACCTATAATTGTACTTAACCTGCCATTGTATGAAGGGCCGAAAACGGTTTGGGTGAATCCGTGGGCAATATCGCTCACGTGCATCCACGGGTTAAATGAGAGAATCTCCTTTCAATAACAGGATACAACCGGTAAAAACAGGGCATCCGACAGTAGGATGCCACATTAGACTGATGCAAAATTTGAAATTTTCGCTCCACAGTGTTCAAACGGTTTCACATCGGGTCCTGATTAGCTTCCGAAAGTTTAAACTCATTTGATAACTTTGACTATATGTTTTAGTATTACTTCTACGTGAAGTCAACGATTTACGCCACCACTGAGGAGGGGGGGGGGGCACCCCTCACCATCCCTCTCCAAAGGGGGAGTTTGGTAAAGAGAGATGAAAAAACCGATTTGTACCTTTCTTAAAAAGTTGTCCTAGCTCGCTATTCTAATATCTATATGCAATCTTCACACTGCCGTACCATAGAGGTAACTCTAAGACTAGAAGGTCCCGAAATAACGTGCTCAACTTTTTGGCTCAGATCTGGTACTCTCTTCGGTCCCAAGCTAATCGATTCACCCCTCGAAACATAGGAGAATCCACTAACCCCTCATTTTATCTGTCAAACTCTCATAGCGAATCAAAACAAACATAGTGTAGTACTGGATTTTATACTAGAATGGGGTACGTTGGTCGATTTGCTTGGGACCAATAGGCTAGTCTAGTAGTGAGCCAATTTAAAATCGTTGGTTTCGTATTGACTGTTGGCCGTACTCTAACGGAACTATCAACTCTATGCTTTCATCCACTCCATCTATCGTATAAAAATTACCACTACAGTATGTTATTTGAAATTAGCATCTTCATTTGATAAGAAACTGACTTGGCACAAACCATTTGAAGTTTATATGGAAATTACTATAGGAAAACAAAACTTTTTGTTCATTGTCTTCTAGCCTTTTTACATTTTGTACTGTTAACAAACTCTATTGCTATTCTTATGGGAATTATTATCAGCTACAACTTTGCAGAAAATCGTTTTTCAGCCAAATGCCAAATTAAATAGTTATTAATCGTTTAAGAGATTGATAATCTTATGGTAAGATTAAGCAACTTTATTGTGGGCAACACTGTATACTGCAGTGTGACATAGTAGCCATGATTTTTGTCCTCTATTCTACGCGCCATAAACACCAAT